TTATATGTCAGTTTGTACTCAGTTAGGGAGATTCAGACGTCATTATATGTCAGTTTGTACTCAGTTAGGGAGTTTCAGATGCCATTATATGTCAGTTTGTACTCAGTTAGGGAGTTTCAGACGCCATTATATGTCAGTTTGTACTCAGTTAGGAAGTTTCAGACGCCATTATATGTCAGTTTGTACTCAGGGAGTTTCAGATGCCATTATATGTCAGTTTGTACTCAGGGAGTTTCAGATGCCATTATATGTCAGTTTGTACTCAGTTAGGGAGTTTCAGACGCCATTATATGTCAGTTTGTACTCAGTTAGGGAGTTTCAGATGCCATTATATGTCAGTTTGTACTCAGTTAGGGAGTTTCAGACGCCATTATATGTCAGTTTGTACTCAGTTAGGGAGTTTCAGACGCTATTATATGTCAGTTTGTACTCAGTTAGGGAGTTTCAGATGCCATTATATGTCAGTTAGTACTCAGTTAGGGAGTTTCAGACGCCATTATATGTCAGTTTGTACTTAGTTAGGGAGTTTCAGATGCTATTATATGTCAGTTTGTATTTTGGGAGTTTCAAACACCATTATATGTCAATTTGTACTCAGAGAGTATCAGATGCCATTATATATCAGTTTTGTACTCAGTTAGGGAGTTTCAGACGCCATTATATGTCAGTTTGTACTCAGGGAGTTTCAGATGCCATTATATGTCAGTTTGTACTCAGTTAGGGAGTTTCAGACGCCATTATATGTCAGTTTGTACTCAGTTAGGGAGTTTCATACACCATTATATGTCAGTTTGTACTCAGTTAGGGAGTATCAGACACCATTATATGTCAGTTTCTTCGTATTTTTGTTATTATTTGGATTCATTTCAATTGGGTACAGAAAAATGAAAAACAAAAAGTGGATTTTGAGAAACATGGTATATGAGTCTGAAATGTCAGTGGTGAAACTTGTTTTGATTTCTGTGTTTAAAATACTGTAAACCATTTTCACTTACAGGCAAGTCTGTAAAAATGTGTGTTATTTTTGCAAAATGTTGTCTTCACGATTGCCTTTAAATTGTCAAATCTGGAAAATTCATAGCAACGGAATTTAAACGAATTATAGTAATCTTCATATTTCAAAATAATGCTTGGTGGCATAAGTGAAAATGGTCATGTATCCTAATTTTTCAAAAAAAAATCAGTTTCCAGTGTGGTATTTTTTTATTGCATAAATATGCACAGAGCATTTTCTCCCAGAATGCTTTGCACATATGCTCAGTAAATATTGGGGGGGGGGGAGTTTTCGAAAGTGACACATTGGGGGGTTATCCTTGAATGTATTGCTGGGATTGTGCCCCAATAAAATTTGAATAAAAGGGAGATATTTAATAATGTTATTACAAGGGCTGTAGTTAATGCAAATACTCAGTCACATTATCCCCTGTATCAGGTGTCAGCTGTTAGTCCAGTGTAATATCTATGTCTGCATTTGTGCATGTTCTTAATTTAGGAGTTTCAGACCTTATTATATTAGTTTCCTCAGCATTTTTTCGTCCCCATTTAGATGAATTCTGCAAATATTGGTAATTATAATTTAACCTCTATGTATCAATGCGTGTGTGTCTGTTTGTATTTTAGGCATAATCTAAATATCATAAACTATTATTTTGGTGATGACAAGATGTGTTGCTATGACTTCTAAACACATTGTCTGCTAAAAGTCTCCATGGACAGCCATTATGAATGGTAGATAAAGTTGTCAACAAGCCATGTGTTCAGACTGTACCCCAGATTTTCACTGTTTTGTTAAAATTTGTCAGACATGAAATTTAATTGCTTAACAGTAATCAACAGGCCAACAACTATATTTATCTCGTTGTACACTTTTAAACTTGTTATCAAACAGAGATATTGTGCTCACAGTGCCACATGATGATGCATTTGCAGTGGGGGTTCAGGCATGAGGTGGACCATTAGAAACTCTGGGTGGTGGGGTGGATAGTAAAATTGTAAAAAAAAAATTGTACAGAAAAGAAAATCTGCTGGGATCAATATTGTCACACATTAAAAAGAAATCATATATTCATCAAGAAAATAATAATTAGCACAAGACAAAATCCTTCAGAGATTACTAATAACAAAAAAAAAATGAATATATATAATGCACAGTTTTTCTGTCATTTCCCCCTTGAAGTTTAAAATGGGTGCATCAACATGTGACACTCCAAGAGTGTTCTCTCAGAATAGGGCATATGCATGACCCCTAAAGGTCACACATCCTGGCACTTTCTGACAATAATATACCACAGTCCTATGCTAAGTGATTCCTGATTGGATGTCTGCTTATGAAAGGTCATAGGGTTTAGAAGCCAGTCATAGATTTTAGTAGCCAATCAGTCTTTCTGAGACTTAACATTAATTTGAACTTTTGAGTTATGATTTCCTGATTCTTCTTTCAGAGTAAGCCCAGCGTTCCAATCGAGCTTGGTAAAATACAGAGCGTCAAGACGTTACGAAAGAGAGATCGAAGTATTCCACGTGCATTTGAAATCTTCACAAATGAAAGAACATATGTGCTCAAACCGAAGGATGGTCAGAATGCCGAACAGTGGGTGCAGTGCTTGACATTGGCTATGAGACACCACGCGTGTAAGGGTACATTCAACACAAGTTAAATAATTTGTCTGCAATTCGCCAGACAATGAACTCGTGCATTGATTGCATGTTAGAGTTTAAGATTCTATTCATGTGGAAATCTTCAGTGTCATAGGGAAGCCATTTGTTATACTGTTAATCTACAGTAGCTTAGGGGGGATTAGACTGGTAGGATATGTTATTTACACAATACAGTCTAACAAAAATTACATTAACATTGCAACAGTAGTGTTTGTTTTTATTTTCCTGGCATTCTGGGTAAAGTATGAGAACCGATTGTGTCTTTACACTATACGCTAATTTTACATCTACATAAACTGCATAAATCTTCAAATAATTAAAGTAGTCATAATTCATAAAAAACAATAGTAATATATTATTGCATCTTTAGAAAATGAACATTTCTATCAGTCGTTAGCAATAAATATATGGATAACAAAAACTAAAAAGTACAAGTAGCATCAAAAAAAAAAATTATGCAATTTCATTTTGTGTTGTGAAGCAACTTCCGATGCTTTTGATCATTTCCTCATCTCCATTTTCAAGTAGATATACAAGTTTCTGGAATGAATTGGTGATTTTACTCATAGCTGGGAATTCAATATCTGTCAGAATATTTTGTCGGTCGAAATGAAATTGTTCTGGTACTCAGTAGTGGTTCGTAATTGTTCAAAAATCCCATCCCATCCCATCCCATCCCATCCCATCCCATCCCATCCCATCCCATCCCATCATATCATCATCCAGTACTTTATAATGTGTTTTAAAAATACACTTATTATTGTTCATGTGTTGATTCATGAAACCTTGAACTTTGACCTTTCCTCATACATCCCACTAATGAGTATCATATCTATACCCAGAATGCCTTTCTTGATGATGGTGAATGCATCAGAGGGTGGATCAGTTACAAAATAACTTTTATATAAGTTGCAAGTCTTAAAAATACAAAGTCAGCTCAACATACCAAATAGGGGTGCTATTGATCCAGCAGGCACTTCTTAAAGCAAACGTAGAATCATGTTTTTTTAAATTAACAAATAATAAAACTACACTTAAAATGACTAGTTTTAATGAAATAATTTATTTTAACCAGTCCATGTCTGGCAATTGCCCTACCATTTAATATGTAAGATGTTGTTACCTTAAATTGTGAATTTATTAACATTATTATAAAAAAAGAGTTTCATTGCGTAGTAATCTTGCCATTTATTTTCCCCATACTTGATATGTTAGCTGGATCCTTTGGTTATAATACATCAGGCAGAACAGGACTTATGTACGATATGAAGGTGGTCGGAAAATCCAACAAATTTTGATTAAATATGCCAGAAAGATTTTTGTCAATTCCCCACAGGTAATAAAGAGTGCTAAAGAGAGTTCTAAAAAGTAATTTCTGTTGACGCAAGACATCCACAATGTTAAATAAAATTCTGCTAACTACTCCCATGATTCTCTGCATAACTGCATACAAATTAGCATTAAATTGTCTATTGATTTTCCGTTCTGTATAAAAAGCAGTATTAAAGATATTCACAGCATTTCAGAATATCCCTTAAGAAAAAACAGATTGGCACTTATTTTTAGGATTTGTTTCCAGCAATGCAACATCCTATTTTACCGTATTTGCTCTATTTGTGGTGCATGTTCTAAATTACATGGTTGTATCTATTGGCAAAAAAAAAACAAACCTATTTTATGTTTCAGTATACAACACATGTAATTTTCGGTTTACATGCGCTTCTATTAAAGATGTACTTTAATAATAATAGAGTAAAGCAATAGACAGGTTCCTGGTTTCCACAGAATTCAATTTAGAAAGGTTCCTATTTTCACAGAGAGAGAAAACAGATGGGGAGTATTATATGTTAAATCTAACACATTCAACATTACCTATTCTGCTTCATAGCGAGAAGAATTAAAAATAGGGTGACAATGTTGATTTCATTCTCATATTCTTGTATTGTTTTACAATTAATGGTTCTTGTGTACTTTTATCAGAACAAATCAAGATTGTGATTAGTAGGTCACTCTTGTTTTGTATTTTCAGAAAGAGTATATGATTACATGTTTTCAGTTCTTGGCCAGTTCATTAACCCGCTGTCTATGAAACCGAATTTATCCTGTCCATTAGCCTGCATCGTTTTAAAGTTTATTTAACTTTATTTTTTGTTACATTCCATGCCTATTTTCACAGAGTTTGGATCAGACAAGTTCATGTTCGCACCGAATTTGGTTTTAGACATGTTTCCAGTTCGCACAGAATATGGTTTAACACACAGTTCAAGTTTGACAGGTTACCAGTTTAAGGAGCTTACTGTAAATACTGCTAGACTATCTATAACAAGCTCAACTATATTTTCCTTAGGAATATCTTAATTTGTTTTCTCCATCTTATAATCATACTGGAGATGTTTGTTTTCAGAAATGGAGTAGAAAAGTTGTTTTTTTATAAGTCACCACAATATTTATTTTATTTACAAATTGAAGACTTTGTCTGTATGAGAGAACAGATCGAGGGTTCTATATGTTAAATCTAACACATTCAACATTACCTATTCTGCTTCATAGCGAGAAAAATTCTCAAGCTTGCCAGTGTTGATTTCAATCTCATATTGTAATATTATTTTTAAAATTACTGGTACTGTGGTTCAAGCAGAGATGCAAATTTTTGCTAAATTGGAAATTTGGGAGAAATCCTGATAATTTGTGGGATAATTACAGTCACACTCTTGAAATTCAGTCATTGTAATGAAATTGCAAATGGTTTGAGTGCAATTTTACCAGTGATCAACTTATGGTTTACGACCAACACCCTAATGTACAATTGTTTTTTCGCATTATGGCTCGATAAATAAGCTTCATTTATTTTCATTAAATCATGCCTTTCAAGTTCAAGATGCATGGTAGTGACAGAGGTGATTGATATCGCAACGTCAACAATCGTGCCTTTTAGCTGCAAAGTCTTTACGTGACATAATTTGGTGTCAGCAATGACATTGACAGTGTAGTCATCTGTCAAATTAAGAAATTAGAGATACTACACAACCAATTTGTCTGTTTAAATGTACATGCATCTAATTATACAGTGTTGTACTTGTATTACACAATTATTATTTTTTTCGCTCTGTTGAAATCTGATTATCGTAATCATTGTTTGAAATATAAACAGCATGAATTGTACGGTTTATGTTGTTTCAAGTTCTGATCATGATTTGACTTTGAAAAACGCCGCTTGTATAGTTAAAAATGCCATAACCTTAGTTTGACCATGAACTTCACTGTTTGTACATATATATATATATATATATATATATATAGTTAAGCATGGTAAACTTATATCTCATTCATATTAATGTCTTCCAATATTTTTCATTTCGGTTCACAATGAACGTATGTATAGTTAATCTGCGTTGGATAGTAGATGATTATTTTCATTAGTGTGCGAGTGTGTGTAACAAAATACGCTTGTATAGTGTATGATAATAATGTTGCTTTAAGTTGTCAGTAGTGCATGTATCCTTCCTTGTTTCTTTGATATTAAATGCTGAGTAAGTTATACAGAAGTATCATTTTGTTGTTACAAGCAGCAAAATGGCCATCTGCATATACTACTCAATACTTACGGTAGTCCTGTACATAGGTACTAATTTACTGGTATTTACTGTATGGAGGCAGCCATCTTGAATCTTGAACAACAAAATTATGTTCAAAAAAAGATTCAAGCTTGAATAAGCCAAGAAAAAAAATGTGTCTGGTCATCATGCACATTACAGAAAATGAAAAAAAAATGAAAATTTTCATGTGATAATTTGACAAGACACGAGTGCACTTCGATTGCGAGCGGGGGCAAATGATCAGAAACTTTTTTTTTCTGCTGCCAAATGTGGTTAAGCTGTTTTTTAAAAGAGGTGATAGAGCGCCCTCTTTGCTGAAATCTAATACTTCCTTTGTATTTATAGAATGTTATCTATAATTTGTGTATTATTACTTGGTGCATGTTTCCAGGCAGGATACATGTGCACAACTCTGTTATGTTGTTTATGTTATTCCTAGCATAGATGCCATATTTCTAGAAGTACATGTGCTGGGCTTCCACTAGGGACAAAATATTTTTGGCCATGGTGGTAATTTTGTCTTGATGTTTACTTTGTCTTTTTGTGGCTGATGGCATGTTGTTTGTTTCCTCGTAGCCAGTCTTGGGCATTAGTGAGGAAAGCCCCAGCACTGTCCAAGCTAAAATTTATTATTCAACCATCTTTAGAAATGTACAAACCAAATCTGATGTAACCAGCTTTGAGGAGGTATCTCGTAAGCATGTGTACTTTTATCAGAACAAATCAAGATTGTGATTAGTAGGTCACTCTTGTTTTGTATTTTCAGAAAAAGTATATGATTACATGTTTCAGTTCTTGGCCAGTTCATTGACCTGCTGTCTATGAAACCGAATTTATCCTGTCTAGTTCACATTTAATTTTATTTACTTTTATTTTTTGTTACATTCCATGCCTTGTAACTAAATTAAGCAATATGTATTTATAATTATTAAAAAAGTATTTCGGATGGAGGTCTATGTATATTTAGAAATAATGTATAATTTGTCAGAATATCATTATGTAAATATCTAATGTATGCAATCTGGAATTTATCATTTTTTTTTATATTCTTTGAGACATTCACAATAAATTAATTTCTGCTCATCGTCCTTACTTTTCTGTGGTTATTTTTTAAAAATTGTTCCGTGGTTGTGTATTTAAAGCGAGAGGTTTGTCACCTGCGCCTGCGTGGGAATTGAGTCCCAAGCGACGATAACACACACTAAAAACGCAAAGGCTCATGGGTAGACGCTTGTTTATAATCAATGACACGATAAGGCCATCCGACGCATGTGCAGGTGACGACTCCCTTGCTTTAATAAATTAAGCCAGCCAGCAATATCTGCTACCTTCAGCTTATTGATAATATAGCGGTAGAATAGAAATGTTTCCAAAGCTGATGATAATCTTCCTGAAAGCAACAT